TGGAATGTTACTGCAGACAATATGCAGTTGGGCTTGGTGGGTTTCCCTCTGCCCTGCTATGGGTCAAGGAGGGCTATAATGGAGTGTCTTCACCCAGCAGCTCGTTACTGAAGATGCCTCAAGCTGTTTTTTAAGTGCATTTTAATCTTCCCCCCTCCCTTTAAAACAAAGATGGCAGAAGTAAAAAACTCCAGCAGAAACAAAATACTTTGTCTACTAAGAAGCAAATTAGGATGTAAATATAATTGAAAAAGCTTTTCAATAATTAGGCTCACTCCGCAGAAAAAAAAGAACAAACATGGCTGGAGATCAAAATACCCTTGTATTACACCTGAGAAATACATAAAGCAATCAGAAAATTGTAAGTGGAAAGCACTTCACAATACCCCATAGATGAACTGGCTCAGTAAAGCTGACAGAACATATCTGCTGGCAGAAGAATGGTTTAGACATCAAATCTTGAAACAGTTCCTCTTCAGAAAAATCTCATGTATATTTTTATATATATATATACACATACACACACATACACTTTCTATTCCAAGGTCAAATTAGATCTTTACAAGAACCCTGAAAACTTCTGCTGACTAACTCCAAATACAAGGAAGTCCTCCAAAGATCCAAGGAAGAAACCATCCTTCTGGTCATTGTTTAACCACAGTGAAGTTTCACTAATACTGTTCACACCCCAACAACTGAACAACCCAATTCATTTTCATGCCCCACTGGCTGGACAAGATATCCAAGTAACCAAAAATTAAGTTAATGGTGAAATTAGAGAGCCCTTCCCTTCCAAGTCACACCAAATGAATGGACTTTGGTAGCGCCAAGCAATGATTCTGCAGACATCACTCAGCATGAAATCAGGCTGCAGTGTAAGCCATTAACTGAATTTCTTCTCATTAAGAGCAGCAGCAGGACTTGGCTGGCTCACCCCAAACCTACCGCATGGCACAGCTTGCCCCGTGCAGTGCAGGGGTGGCCAGAGTCCATTTACTCTGAAGAATTAACTGGTAGGAGATTTGAGTCTTGATCAATGACACCAACATTTTACCAGCCATGAAATCCAGAAATAGAAGAACCCAATATTCCCAGTGGACACCTGAAAAATGAATGTGTGACCTGGGATTTGAGAGTATTCGAGCGAGTTCCACAGCCTCCACTACCCGCGCTATTTTGCCAAGCTATTTACATTTCTTTACCTTTTACAGAATTAACCACAACCATAAAAAGAAGAAAACTTTTTATTGATAAGGTAATATGGGAGAAATTTAGAAAAACACACATAGAACTCCCTCAGAAGGAAACATACAATATCAAAATATGCCAGAGTTAGTATATCAAAACAAGCTCTCTCTAACAAGAGTTTCAAGTAATGCAATCATAAAAGAATTTGGCTAAAAAGTAATGTATATATACTGAGATGTTTTCTGTAATAGTCCTCTAAGAAATTAAAGGAAAGCAGCAGAAGATCTGTTTAACTACAGACACATATTTAGTAAATATATTAAGTGTATTTATATAATAAAAACTGCCCTGCACATTCATCACTAGGTCTGTATCCTCCTCTATGTGGCAGTCGTCTCTCCAATTCTACAAGACTGCCCAAAAAGGAAAAAAAAAGGAAACAAACATAATACTACTAAGAAAAGGGAGACCTAAGCCTGAGGTACAGCTTAGGGGGAAGCCCAGGCAACTCCAGGCAGAGAACTCTGCACTCTGACTTAAGTCCTATTTTTCAGGAACATGGAAGGGGAAGTTTTCTGTGTCAGGATCCCAGATTCTTAATTCTACAAGACTCTGCCCAAAAAGGAAAAAAAAAGGAAACAAACATAATACTACTAAGAAAAGGGAGACCTAAGCCTGAGGTACAGCTTAGGGGGAAGCCCAGGCAACTCCAGGCAGAGAACTCTGCACTCTGACTTAAGTCCTATTTTTCAGGAACATGGAAGGGGAAGTTTTCTGTGTCAGGATCCCAGATTCCTACTCACTAGTTATTAAATGCTTTACGACAGAGTAGCCTGAAGTTACCACAGCAACTGATAGCACTTCTGCTCCTTGCTCTACTACAACGGCCACATACGTTGTCAGACTCATTTCCCAATTACTTCCTTTGAATAGTCCCAAATTTTGTGTTTCCTTTCATAAAACTTACTTATAGGAACACCATCCTTCAAAGTGAAGCCCTGTCTCATTTAATAGGTAGATTCCAAGCAAATAAAAATTCTCATTTAATTAATCCTTACTATTTGCATCTTTCCCCATAAATAAGATTATAGTACATAATTTACAGTTAAGAGGAAAATACCTTGAACTTCCATGAGATAGTGTTTGAAAAACCAATACCTGAATTATCTAGTGTACAGCTTAATGAGCTGCTCAGCCTGCACCCATATTAGGCCTAATGAAGAATGAAATTATAAAGAAGCAGGACTATTGCATTTAGATCAAAATGCTGCTCTGCAAACCATGACACTCCACTCCCAGACACTACTTTAGCCCACAGTAATCAGCATTACAAAGCATTCCTGAAAAACCTTGGGGGAAGGGGAGACAAACAAAAGTTAGTGTTTTGATAGAAAAACCTGATTTTTAAGTCTTGCAAAAAAGCAAAGGCACTACATCTTAAGCTTATATTTAAATAAAGTCTGTAACTTGGCCAGCCAAGTTACAACATATACCTAAATACTTTCCATCTACCTTTGCAGCTGATTTACTAAGCGTGTCTTAGTGTGTCTTCATCAGCTTATGTGACAAAAACAGCCACTTTCTCTTAATCATTAAAGGAGATATACAGCTACAATACTTAGCCAAGCTCATTTGAATAGAGTTTATTTTCAACCATACCATGAGAGTCCGAGTTATAGGATAAACTGGAGTTTCTGGGTATAGACCTTGCTTTAATAAGTGGTCAATCAGACATAAAAATAATTTAACTACCATGTCATCATTTTGACAGTCAGCTTGTCTACCAATTTTAAAAGACGTTCTACATCTTTTATTAATCTAATGAGAGAGGTGTCAGATCTGAAACTCAGTAGCCCTATTTTTCAGTTTTCCACGAAGAAACTATTCCAGCTAAGTTGTTTCATATTTGGAGATTCTAATTGCAGCTATATCATACTTATATAAGTCTCCTGAAGGTTATCACTACCATCACCACAGCACTTCTACAAGACACAGCAGCCTTCAAGAGCAATGGCACTAAGCACATCAGCAAACGAGTCCCTGTCTCATGCGGATGATCTGTAGTAAAGCAGCTTGGACGTCTTCATCCATGTGACCCTAGAGCAAGCAAACGCTTAGTTAAATTAAAAATCCCATAAAGTGTCAACCATCCACCACTAATATTAGGAGACTCTTCAAAATTACCCAAAAGTGTTAATTCATTGCTGTATTTTCACTACTCTCTGGGAAAGTCTGCAATATTTCAGGAATCTTGTTCTTTTTCTCTCATGAGAAAGAAGGGTCACTAACACAGCAGTTTCCTTTATGAAAATACAATGTGGGGAAAAAAAAGCAACTGTTCCTATCCTCTGGCTCCACAGCTGCTGCTGTAGGAAGGGTCCCTCTTTTGCATTCTTGAGTATCTGAAGTCGTAAAACTTCATGAGAGCCACTGGCTCAGTCCTTTTTAAATTAAAACTCTCAACATGAAAACAGGTACTTGATGCTAGTTTGAGGTCTCCCAGCGAGGGAGTTCAAAACATGTCTCAAGGATCCCTACACTGAAATGACAGTAAAACAATCTGAACTGGGTACTCTCATACCTGTACAGCACTGAGGAGATGTGTCCGATACACTGAGACTACCTCTTGATGCTGCCTTTTAGCATCCTGTAACAGAAGGAAGAGGAGGTGAAGTCATCAAATTTTTAACATCTACTTTTGCTCATTTCCAGCTTTTGGGGCTTGGTTTTCTGCACTTCTAGACTAGCCAAAGCAGAAGTTCAAGGTTAAATTAGCTATATCCCCTCCTTAATCAAGAAAAAAGTCACCACTTTTTTTATTGCTTACTTGTAGCAAAGCAATGTTGCTGACTGGCTGTCAAGGAGGTGCTAAGATTAAACACTTGTTTCCTCAACAGCATTAGCTGTTTGTTATAAAACCACCCAATTTAAGAACACGTTGCCTTATAAGGGTTAGCTTTGCAAAGATTTATCCTGCTTCTGTACAGATTTACAAACAGCTAACTTGGCTCAGATACACAGCTTTAATTAAGAGCTTTATTGAAGGGGCCACAAACATGTTCATGCCCAAACTCCCAGCACTTCCCATAAAGCATTCCCCTTCACTGTTAGTGGTTAATAAGGAATACACTTCACAGTGTTTGCAGACAAGGAAACAGTCAAAGGGCCACCTCACTTTCAAAGTGAGAAGACACATGACTGGTGGTTTTTTGAAAGAAAATATTAACCTGGAACTTGCATACAGAAATGGGCATGGCATGAACTATAGCAGCGTATCTCATAAACACAAATTTTCTCTGCATCCTTTTTATCTGGAAAAATTCCCAGATGTTGTAACTGCAATGTGTAGAAGGGAGCAGACAAATTTCCAAAGCAGCAGTCACGGGAAAACAAAAATAATAATTAATGAATTTATTCATTACTCTACTTTTGAAGTCAAAGTCTACAGCCAACCCCAGGGCTCCAGCAGCCACATTTGTATTTCCTTGGTCACACAAGGACTGTAAGTGATGCTACCCCATCTCAGCCAAGGCCTCGCAGGAGCACTTACCGCCAACTGCTGCTGCAGGCTTTTCACTTGGTTCTGCAGCGTTTCAACCTGCTGGTTCTGCCTCTTTGAGGGGATCCCGGTGGTGTATGTGAGCTGAGACAAGCCATTAAGAGCTTGTTTTAACCGCTCCACATCATTAAGCAGTTCTGTGATCTTTTAAGAAAAAGCACACAAAAACCTCATTTAAGGACGTCTCACCGAAAAATAATATTCTTTAACATTCTTTAAAGACTGATCAAAATTAGCAAGCACTGAAGGGTCTCTGTCCTAGCTTGCCATGACACTGCCTAAGAGACTTAAAGACAGAGGACTTCATTTTCATGTCATGCCATCACTGGTTCCCATTCCGCTTCCTAGAATTGGAAATTGCAATGTCTGGACCCTGGGGGTCAGGCAGCGACAAATGATTTATGCTCTAAAAATATTCTAGGCCTCATTTGTAAGAAGAACAATGAACCATCAGAAGGTCAGCCAGAGATGCTAAAGAAACAGCTCCAGTGGAAGAATGAGCCGATACCCCAAAAGTCTAAAACCCAACCTGGATGAAGAGAATTTAAAATACAACCCATGATGTTCAAAACACACAAGAAATTAGAAAAGCTTAGCACAATGCTAGCAAAACCAGGACTCCACCTTAGCAGATGTGGGCCAGTCCAGGGCACCTAATGCTCAGGACACAGAGCATTAGTAGCTCTATTTGAAGCCCAGCTAATGCTCCTGACACCTTCAGTTCAGAGGTACAGAACTACCCCACATCCTACCTTGTTATCCTTGGCCTCCACCTGCTTTGCAGACTCCTGTATTCTCTTCTGCAAGTCAATAATTGTCGTCAAGGATTTATCACACCTCTCTTTCTGGTCTTTAATTTCTTGCTCAATACTGCAGCTCCGTAACTGAAGCAACTCCTTCTCATCCTTTAAAGAAAGCTCGCTTTTTTTAGCTTGCAAAGCCTCCTCACACGCTTCCTCATACTTCTTGTTCATGCTGGACAAGTTCTCAGCTATGCTGTTAATCTGGGCCTCCAGAGTACTCTTCATGGATTTGTATTCTGAGATGTCAATCACCTCTTTGCTCTCCAGGTCTGTCAAAGCTTGTTGAGTAAGCCGAATCTCAGACTGCAACTTCAGGATTTCCTCATTTTTAACTTGGTTTTCTTCTTCCTTTTCTTTCAAGCTGTTTTTGATGGCTACAATTTCTTGTTCAAGCGTTTCCTTCATTTGTGTATATTCTACCAAGGGTATTGAAGACTTCTTTA